GACGAAATCTTGCATCGTCTCTCTTTGGATCCAAATTTGGATCCAAAAACGGTGCGATACAAGATTTCACCGCCGCTCAAATTCACTGCGCTTGCCCGCACTTTCAGACCCTGCAGCACGTGCGTGTCGTGTTCGGGGGGTTTTTTTCCCCGCCGCGTGCCTAGTAGTAGTAGTAGTAGTAGTAGTAATAGCAGTAGCAGTAGCAGTAGCACTAGCAGTAGTAGCAGCAGTAGAGGCAGCAGCAGCAGTAGTAGTAGGGGCAGTAGCAGCAGTAGTAGTAGGGGCAGTAGCAGCAGTAGCAGCAGCAGCAGCAGCAGTAATACTAATAATTTGTAGTAATTGTAATTGTAGTAATAAGAATATGTAGTAATTGTAGCAGCAGCAGCAGCAGCAGCAGCAGCTAGGGGAACATACTTAGTAGGGGGCGGAGGGCAGCTAGTAAACCATGATTTGCACGGCAGTGTGAAAGTAGGCAGCAGGAAAAATCACGCATGTTCACGTGGCCTGTCAACAAATCGGCTATTGCAGCACAGGTGCCAAGGCAAAGCCATGCAGCGGGCTGGACAACGTGGGAAGCAGCCGATCCTCGAGCACGTTTGAGTTTGCAGTGGACACTGCGACCCCTCAGCTATGCCAAGCATCTCCGCGCTGGAGCCTGACATCCTTCGTTTTGCCTGAACAAACTGCCAAGACAGAGCAACCTTACTGCTCGTTGGCGCATGAGCGGCCTTTGCCCCGTCGTAGTCCAATCGAGGGAAGCGCTTGATGACGCAGGTGCGCACCTTCTGAAAACAGCGTTGCCAGACTTACGATTCAGACAGCTTGAACGCTGGCTAAGTCAAGGGCGCCCCAGCAGTAACTACGGGACCTTCGAAATCCGTTCTGCCGTACTCTTGATCAACTGTATGAGCTGCTAAACAAGGACTTTGTGCTTGTGATGTTTTGGCAGCGATGACGCATGGCACCTTCGACCGCAAAGCCGTTGCTTCCACAATCTTCAGCCACACCAACCCAACGGTGGAGTTTGATAGTCATGCTGTTCTTGGTGAGCTCCTCAGCTTAGGTTCCCCTCTCACATCGATTTTACCATGAAACGTTAACGTGCAGTTTGACACAGCAACAACAACGCGTTTTGCAAGGGCACCATATATATATATATATATATAAGGGACCTGTCCTGCTGCAACATCTTGTATGTTGACGACCCATTGACAGCCACCACACAGTCGCCAACAAGGATGGGAGTTTCAGAACCTTGGCACTAACGCATCCAACTGCAATTCGTTGCGCTTGCGCTCCAAGACGGAGCCGGGAACTGCCAAACTGTAGGGGAGGTACCCTCATTCCATTTGGAGACAACCTTGGCTGACATCACTGTTGCGAGGTCTATTAAAACACAACAAAGGCAATTTGTTCGCGGATAAGTAGTCCGCCCCAAGTGTGCGCATGATTTTTGGTCTCCGGGGATTGCGAGATGAAAAGTTTCCCATGTGCCAAAACTGAAAAGTAGGTTGGGGTCCGGTTGGGGTCCGGTGAGGTTGTCAGTTTCTAGTACGGATGCTGCTTACAAGGATATCGGGGAGATCCTGCAATGAAGGGCAGGGGCATTGATTCCGGGCAACCAGAAATGAAACAGTGTGCACTCTTGCTAATTCGTTTACATTTTCACGCGTTTTCACGCGTGTCTTGCTCTGTCATGGGTTTGAGGGTGCTCTAGGCCAGCAGAACGATTATTACATATACACGCTCCTCACACACGACGGATGTCTGGCGCAATGTCCTGCAGGAAAAGTCTATTGAGTCTACTGGGACGGCACAACTGCAACCTGCGCATAATTACCTCGAAAGTCATGGCAGGGTATGACGGGGTCTTCGGCTTCCTCTGCCTTGATTCCCTTGCAAAAACCCGGTGCCTTCTTACTTGGGGAGGTTCACGCTTGCGAGCGTCGAACAAGTCAAAGGCAGAGCATGCCCAACCGGATCCGAAATGCAGCCGCGATTAGTGGTATGCCACAGTAGATGAGTGCGCACATGGCATGCGTCAAAATTGGCTCGTCTTTCCATGTCTGTTGCCCTGGACAAGCGAAGCGAAAGAGGCCCTGCGCCTGCGCCACTGCCCCGGCCATCACCGTTTCAACCACAGAAGGGCGGCGACTCTTCAGGGGGCGCCTGTCCCTTCACGCGAAAAGTACTCAGATGGCGCCGAAACAAGAACATCAACACCTGCAGACGTGTGAAGCCGCCTGCTTCACTTGTGCAGCACCAACACCAGCATACAACAGCATACACCAGCATACACCAGCATACACCAGCACTACCACCGCCCCTACCGCCACCCCGCCGCCACCGCCACCACCACC